TGAAGGCAAAGCCAGCAGCAGAAAGTGATAAGCCTCGGCGGAAGATTGTCGAACATTCTTCTTAGGGTTTAGGGTTTAGGGTTTCGGGTTTAGGGTTTAGGGCAGCTGTTGAACATTCTTCAGCAACTTTGATGTTGTAAGGTTCTGTGGGCCTCGTAGCAACGTGAAGCCTGTAACCGACTGGTGAGCTGTAGACATTGCTACGTGGTAAGGCGTTCCTCTCCTTCCTGCAACTGTAAACCCTCAAGCGAAAGATCAAATAGCCCAGGTTTGGATGAACAACCCTCCTAGCCACCTTTTCCTATGAAAAGAATGCTACGGCACCTTGCAACCAGTGTCAACCGTAACCTGTGTCTGCAGAGGGCGAAGAGGGGGTCTAGGTTTCCGATACGAGAAAAGCTTTGCAGTTCCACTTGTGGGGCCATTGGTCCTCACAAATGCGGATCAATCGAAAGTTAAGGCTTGCAAGGCCCTCGTATTGATCTACAGACCCCTGGAGATGAGACGTTCAAGCAAGTTTTCGGTTCGGGCTGTGGGGGCTGAGGATACAAAAAAAACACAGAACGATAGTTTCAAGCTTTTCAGGGTGTGATTCCGGTGCAGAATCTGCATCTGATTCCTATTTACATTGGATGATGTCACGAAGGCATGATTTTCGCGGCTCATGCTTTGGAAGGGCCCTGGACCCGAACCCTACACACACAAACTCTCCAACATTAAATTCCAAGACCTAAAGCCATACATCATGCCATACACCATGCACCCTGAAATGCTTAGGCTATGCAGCGCGGTAGTAGCTAGCATGCTTTCGTCTACTTCGCCGATGAAGAGTTCGTCGTATACTATATACTGTACTTATTAGGCTCTGTAGTGTTGATTCTGCCGTCCGCGAGACAGGTGAAGCAGCAACTCTGCAAGTCATTCACCTGCACGATCCGAACAAGCAACATATCAGAGCCTCAGCCTAAGCCCGCCTGGAAAAAGCCTTGTCGTAACAAAAGTACACGATACAGTGCACTTTAGACTGTAGGGCCTTTGCCTCTCAACTGAAAGCACCAGGATCGAAAGCAAAGGAAAACCTCTTCATCCCCTTCACTATACTGGACTTCGGCTCGTTTGGGTCCTGAGAAAGTGCTCGGTCATGGATTTACTGTGCCCCAAGCCGCAAAACACGCACCAAAAACTGGAACTCCTGAACCTCTGCAACCCCAAAGATATCCCCAGACCACAAATTCATCCACACCCTGGGACACCGACATCAAACCCGACATGAAACTCAGCTTCCTGAACCCTCAGACCAAGCACATCTTAAACTCCTCAGAGCCCGAACCAGGAGCGCAAACTCCAAGTCAATGCATCAGACTAACCAAACTTTGAAATGCCTATCACCCCGAGCAGCAAACAGCATGGCTACATTCAAATTCCCGTACACAACACTTCACCCCCAAACGCAGAACCCCCTCTATAAGAAGGTGGAGACGTTGAAGTCGAAGTCTTGTGTTCGAAATAGTTTATGGGCACAAGGTCTCAGGGGCAACTACAAAAACCTTCCATGAGTTGAGAAACCCTAAACCCGTCGAAAAACCTCACGCCCAGCACTGAGATTCGCACCCCCATGGTATGCATCATCATGCATCCTCTCCCCTTAAGAGAGACAATCGAAGCTCAGCCCAACAAGTGCAGAAAACGTTGTTGCCTGCACTCCCTTTGGATTGACCTCACACCCTCATTCCATCCTGCGCCGAGTGCCAAGAAGGAGCCCACACGAGACTCTTCGGGCAAACCCCCAAAGAAAGCCCTCTCCCCAATTCAGGTACCACGACAATCTAGGGGCATTAGTAATCAGACTAGGGTTTTGGGGGGGATATTTTGGTATCCTTACAAAGGAAACCACAAGGGAACATTCTCAAAAAACTCTTCCGACCCCTGGTTTTTTCAACACGAGATCCGCCTGGTGCTGCCTGTAGGGCTTCGTGGAGCTGAGAAGGACGACCATCCCAAGGGTGCAAAGCATCGTCAAAGGCAGGGAGCCCATGGCCACCTGAAGTTGCTCCGGCTGCGCTTGCTGCCGGGAGGTTCAGGGTACTTCTTGACCAATTATAGCTGTTCAGGGTTTGGGGTTTAGGGTTTGGGGTTTAGGGTTTAGGGTTTAGGGTTTAGGGTAACCAACGATAACTGTACCTATAACTGTACTTATAACCATATTGGGGCACTTAAGGGGCTTGCAAGTGGGTTATAAGTTATAAGTACAGTCATAATTGGTTCATAAGTACCATGAACCTCCAAGTATGCCACAGAGTCGACCTCCATATTATCATATAGTATATAATACAATGCTACATAGGATGCCATATTGTCGAGTCCTCTCTCTCTCTCGCATTCTCGGGGCAAATATAAAAAGAGCCTTTCAGGCGACGACGTCGCGTGTCGCACTTTGCAAGGGTGGATCCTCCCTGCATGGCCTTCGACCCTACATCCTAAAAACGTAAACCTAAGTCCGATGTCGACATGAACACGCAAACACATGTGTCTTGCCCAACCCGTCAATTTCAGACATCACTGGTGGTGATTCCCCAACACCCCGTGGGCCAGGTTCATCTGCCTCCAGAGAATCA